AGAGGATTTTAATTAGAATCAAGGATTATATTTGTTGACTCTGGACATGAAATTAATACCTGTTTCCACCAAATCTGACACATTTTCAGCAGATTAACTTACAGCTTTTAAACCTGACAAGCTGTCTTAAATGTCTGTGTTTAAAGACTTTGGTGTTAATACGATGGAAAAATGCAGTAGAACCCATACTTTTCCTCGGCAAATGGCAAGAAACACAGGACCTTTGTTCTCTAGATTGTGAAATTTTTCAGAAAATTTTTCCATTGCCTAAGACCATAAAACCTCAATATGCCTGTTCATTAACAATTATTTAGATGAACATAACCTTCAGATCAAATGACCTGTTTTTCGAATAACTCAAACCAGTTAACTATGATCATTGCATGTTGCATGAGAATTGCATCTAAGTTTGGTTTGTTGATAAATAAAATCTATGAAATTCTGCAGAATGGATTTCTATTTAGACATCCCTTTCAGACTGCCATAATTCGAATTCACTGGTAATTAGTACTAAAGGCCATGTTACACGGTGCAATTTTTCTTGCAACTTGCAATGCAATTGCACTGCTAAGATATTTAAATTATTAGTCTCGCAGAAGAAAAGTGCGTGAAGTGTATGAACACAAAAGTTTTGTTATTCCCAAATTTACATACATCTCTCAAAAGTAGAATTGCACTGCAAGTTGCAAGAAAAATTGCGCAGTGTAACAGGGCCTTAACATTGTGGTTACAGCGATTTGCAAGTCGCTTCATTATGGACAAAACCCCAACAAAGAAATGTTCACGTAGAACAAGATACCAAACATTAATTCTTGTGGTAGTTTTTTGAGTGTCTAGTTATTGAAAAGACGCAACAATTGGGTTGTACAATACAATATGTACAGCCGTATATACACTCCTGGTATATTAGCTATATATCGATCATCCCAATGATGCTTTAACATTATTTAAACCTCTGATTGTTCATTCCAGGGTTTCACTGAGGAAGAAAGACAACTTCAACAGAATATTCGCAAATTACAAAACCAACTCGAAGCTAAAGAACAGGAACATCGTCAAAGGGAATGGAAACTTGTGGACAAACTGAAGGAAAATGATGTCACAATACATACGTAAGCTTTATGAAATTCCTCAGGGGGGGAGGGACGGGGGACAAGACCATGTATATTGAAATGGGTTCTTACCTAAATCATTCACATTCTGCATTTCTGATTTCTGTACCAATATATGTTCATTGGCGGATCTGGCGTAAGTCGAAATGCATTATTTATTTTGATTGTTAACCTCCAAAGGTTCATTACTCGTGTCTAGTGTCTACGAGTAGCTTTTTTTGAAAATATTTTTAATTCTCAATATGTCCAATATCCAAATGTGAGCTGTTCTAGTTTATTTTCACAAACCTAAGTTCTGCCACAGGGCATGTCTATTTCAAAACTCAGAATATATCCGCTTTTGAACCGAGAAACCATATTTAACTTATAATACTGGGCTGTAGGAAGGCCTTATTATGACTTTCATGAATTCATCCGTTCAAGAATAGTGCTTTTGAACAAGTTGATGTTGAAATTCGACAACTTTTTAACAATTCGAGAGGAACGACTTTTTACAGGTGACAAGTGATTTTTTTTATTACACAGGCTAAATCAATCAATCGCAAACTTAAAGAGCAAGATGGACTAACAGAACCAGGAATATTCCAGATTAACTGTAGCAAAGGATGTTGAACTGGAAACGTTGCATCAACAGGATGCCAATATGAGATCTGAACTCGCGCAGAGAAAAAATAATTTTGAGAGGTTCGAATAAACGTTGAATATAACTTTGTTTCTCGATTGTCTTTAAATTCCGACCTATCGTAAAACGTTCCTCAATAATTGCAGGCTCACCGTATGAGGTGATTTTTCATGGGGTTTAAACATATCTGGTCAGATAAACCTGGCCATTATTTGAAGCATTCAATCCATCCGTCTAAAACACCTCCTTCGCTGAGCTGAAGTGCAAATATGTGTTCATTAATATTGTACTACAGTATAAATAAGGATTGATAACAAACGATTTTTTAAGGTAAAGAAAAAGTGAAAAAGTTTGATCGAAAATCTTAAAAAAAACATACCCGCAATTTACGAATCCTATTTTGTATTGATATTACTAGTCGTGTATCGTATTGAAGATTTCTATTAAAGATGTAAATTCAGGTCTTGATCCAACTTTTTCTTTAGGAGGCAGAAAGAGTTGTCTTTATCTTTGGAAAGAGAGTCGTCGTTGGAACGTTCTAGGGCTCAGCTAGAGTTAGATTGGCAGCGCAGATATGAATAGGAAGAAAGAACTGGGTACATATGATAAACAAGGAGAACTAGTTAAGAATTTAACACAAGGCAAAGAAGAGGTGAATATATATATGAATATGTAAAAAATAAAATTTACACCCCTTTCCATTGCCTCTACCCTACCCTTTTCAATTTGGAATCCCGTTAAAGTTTCAGCCCACAAGGTCCAAATGAAGCGATATAATGTTACTAAACTGATCATCAGGGACTTCAACGTCAACATTAAGGTTGATAGAACTCTTCTGTATTTTTCACATCAGGCGTTATCGTTGGTGTAACAACAGAAACGTGAACTGCTTCACAAGGATAGTGTTTCCATACTTGAAGACACAAAGAGATGAATCAGTTTCTATCCTCAAGCTTCATGGACTAACCGTGCCTTCCCAATATCAGGTGAGTTTTACACCTTGATTGTAGGTAGATTGTAAACGCTAGCGTTCGTTTTTACGGCGTATAGGGGCCCTAGCTCTTCCAGCTGGGCAGATTAACACAATAGAGGAAATGATGTAAATTGAACAAAATTTTGTACAAGGTGTGACGGGGTGTAAAATCCTCGAGAAATTTTAAAAATGATTAAAACATTGGGTGCCCAAATGAGACATCTTTTGAGATTGTTCTTCTATACCACAACTATGTATATAGAGTCTCTTTATGTAAATTCGTAATTCAACTAATGATTGTATGCAGTGGTAACAGGAAACTCATCGATTCCAAATTCAGTCTCCGTTATTCGCCGTAATAAAGTTGTTGAAAATAGATTGCAAGTCGAATCATGCTCCTCTCGTAGTGGCTATACTTAAAAGCCAATTGATGTGCTTAACGAGGTAACTGTCGCAAGATGTATAAACTTTAGATGCGGACGGAAATATCAAACGAAAATATCTTAGTATTTTCGAAACCTTACTGATTATATTACTCGAAGTTTAACGCGCATGTAATTTTCACTGAAACAAGACGCCTGTTCTGGCGTTAACTCCGGCGTGCCGTGCACGTGCCAGTCTTCAATATAAAGCTTCTGAACATAAACAATACAGTTCATATAAATCATATTCATTTAAATGCCTTGCGAACCTAAATGTTGTTCGATCGCAAAATTCAGAAGCACATCGTACTTTAAAAAGTATAGAAGTTCAATTGTTCAAAAATGTAAATAAACGGCATGATACATTCGCTTTGTCTTACACTTAACACTTTGCCTTTGGAATTCGCGCTTGTATAGTTATATTAATTAAATCTTCAATCCTGTGCAAACTATGACGAGTCAAAGCGCCCATACACGACCACATCATCTTGTTAAACGGCGAAATAGCAGCGATATTACTAAAATAGGACCAGAATCTACATGTATTAAATATATTCTTACCCCAATTCAATCTAAACTTAATCGAAAAGCATGAAAAGAACGGTTTATTTGTTCCTCTTGGAGGAATTGCTGTATCATGCGAGCGAAATCGAATCGCGCATCGGAAAATTAGCCAAAGCTGTGCACCACAACTCTTGGGAGACAAGACTGGGACATAGATAAATGCATCACATACACATTTTAAACACTAGTATATTCGCGCCATTTCAGACTTGCCACGACGAAAAAAAAATAAAAAAAAGAAACAAAAACAAAACAAAACCGAGGCGAATTTTCAACTCCGTCGCTGACGCCGGAGTAATAACGCGATTTTTCTTCATTGCCGAAACACTTGACACATTCCAAAATTATTTTCAGTTTGTACTGATGTAATTGAGGACCTACCCTGCGCTCGCGAATCTGAAACCTTTTTATAATATAAGTATGATATAACGAGCAATTTGATTGGCTACCGCGCGTGCATTGTGAGGCCATAACAGTGAACTCTAAAAAGACTGGAACGATAACTTGGCCGCCATCTTTGAAGCCAGCACTGATGGCCGCCATGAAGGCCAAGAGTTGAAATTACACCACCAAAACAACGCCGGTTTTTATACACAAATCCTTCTCATCTGATCATGAATAAAAGCTTAAAACAAGCATTGACACTTAGATTTTACTAAAAAACAAGTTTTAAGAACGTGAAAAGGTGCAAACCTATTTTTTTTGCGAGTTGAAGGCGAAGTTTTTCTCGGCCCGTTCAAATTCTTTAAATATTTCAAGTACAAAGCTGGTACCTCGCCGGTTTTTACAGTAAGATGATGCGGATTACTTAGGTCTATCCAAAAAGGGTAAATTCGTTGTTTAAAGTTGAAGTGGTCAAATAAAAATTGCACTTTTCTCGCAATTTTTTGCCAAAAAATACGATTTTTACGGAATTTTCACTCTCCCCAGTTCTTTTGAAGGCTTGATTTGCTCGCTCGGCTGCCGCCTTAATCAGCAAATTATATTCAAATCGGCTTCATCCAATGACTAGTCTTTATTGTTGAGTTATCGTTCCAGTCTTATTAGAGTTCACTGGGCCATAATGCACGCTTCTGGCTTTTGAAGTTTTTGTTGCTAAGCAACATCTTAATAACATGTAAGAAGAATTTCATTATTGATCAAATAAATAAATTTTGTTGTTGCCCTATAATTTCTTCTTATATTATAAAAGAATTAAAAAAGCTTGTCGCGTGCCTTTATGGTGTAATAATGCACTCGGGGAAATGTTGGAAGAATACTCGAGAAGCTTGTAAAACACTCGGCTACGCCTCGTGTTTTACAAGCTTCTCTCGTATTCTCCCAACATTCCCCCATCGTGCATTATTACACCATAAAGGCACGCGACTCGTTTTTTAATTCTTAAACATCGATACCTCTCCCATTGCTTCGCAAGATTTTATCATTTCTCTAGATTTTATCAGTCATGCATGTTTCACCAGTCGAAGATGTTGGCACACCAGCAGCGAATATGAATAATAAAGAACTTCCAGTTCAGAACGAAAATTTGCGTCTGTTATTCATCAAATGAGAGAGGACATGGAGGATTTGACGAAACAGTTGACGCAACGTACCACTGGATCGATTACTAATGCAAGAGATGGCGTACCCATTACGGAAGGTAATTAAATGATAATAAAGCGGGAAAATATTTCATAACAAAACAATTTCGAAAATATAAAGCCAGATTGTTTTCTATGCATGGATGAATTTAATTTTTTCTTAAAACCTTATGTTTAATATAGCTACTCTACTGTAGCCTGGGTTTGACCCCCCGGGGCTTATTAGGCAATCCCCGTTCTACTGTACATATATAGCTTCTGTATTTTGAAAGACATATTTTTAGAATGACTAATCGTTATAGTGATCGTAACAAAGATCAGTGTGAATGGAATTAATCTGGTATTTCTTTACTAAACATTTCAGAATATGTGACAAGTCTGAAAAAAGAAATTTGAGAAGTGAAGGCGAGAAACCGCGAACTGACCCAATCCATGGCTAATACAAATGCTAAAACTGAAAATACTGAGCCAACTTACGTTTTAGATTGAAGTAAGGATAATGTTCATGTAAGAGGTCTGGTGGCACAGCTGAACAGCACAATCGGTAAGTGGTAGATAACAAAGTTCAACCATACAACAGCAGTTCAAGAAGTTACAAAGCTTAAACATAGCATCATTAAATTGAAACATTACCTCATCCCCCGCATACCCAGCAGTTTTCATTGTGTTATCTGAATAGTTATAGTTGAACGTTGAATTAGTTTTCTGTGTCTAATGTCAAATTTTAACCTACAATGTCCTGAATAATTTCTGCGGATTTTCGCTCCGCACGCGGGTAGTATAAAAAACAACCCCTACATACATTGCCTCGATATGCTGATTTATTACACCGAGTTACATAACTGTTCACTATCTTTACTGCAAATATTTCCGTTAAGTCAAATATTTGACTTTCAAGTTACGTAATTTTGTGGGTCATTAAAAAAACACTATAGCATGTTGATTAGCCCTGAGAATTTACCCGAGTGAAAATTTGAAAAAAATGCCTGTATTTTTTTGCAAGACACAACTGGAGTATCAAGGATTAAGATTTTTGTAAGAGCTGATATTCCAATCGCATTGTACTATTGACCATGGTAACTTAAATTGTGGGAATCGCACGAAAGGCATTCTGTATTAACCGACTAGAATTTCAGATAAGGTATATAATATAATTGCCTATTTCACAATATATATTCTTGCACGTCTTTAGGTAGTTTACGCCAGGGCGTCTATAAGATAGGGCGGCGAAACGCACGGATGGCGTGTTGAAACATGTGTGATGCGATTTTAGGACTGGGACGGGGCGGTCGGCGAAAAATTCTCGAGCGAAACAATATTTACTTGGTTTTTAACAAGCTCGATTAAAACCACTCAATCTCTGAAGCTATTAACGCGACATCTAAAATAAGATTTCTCCTGTGTAATTTATAACTCTTTCTATTAATATTGTGTCTTAAAATTGTTTCTTCAAAAGTTAACTGACCGAATTTGTCAAATTAAAACTACGGACACGCACGGCTACTTGGTCTGTTTTTAGATGTATCATACATATTTTGATTTTTCTCAGTGAGGAAAATCCCCAAAAGCATTATACTTCAAGATTTGGTGTCCAGAATATTGACGAACATTTGTAGCAAATTTCACTACACAACGTTTTGAACCTTTTTTGCAATCCCGTTAAATTATATTATATACTTAGATAACGTTCCGAATTGAAAATATGATATGTTTTTCTTTCGTCATGGCAATGTCGACCTAGCCAAGCTAAAAACAAAACAAGAAAATGCTAACTTACTTGCAGGAGCATTTGACCGCGTCACAACAACGTTTTCGAATTTTCAAAATACAAAATTTCCATTAAAAAATTGAAAACCTTGCCATAGCTCCTAAAGCTGGGAAATTTAGAAAATAACTCTCTTGTTCATTAACATCGATTCCACGTGCAAATAGTCGCATAATGTTTTGAACCTTTTTCACAATTTTCTCTGGAAAACGACAACCATAAAACGGAACCATGTTTACAAACTTGTCTTGGTAACCAGCGGACTTGGACGAGTATAAAAAACACGAAGAAACCCTTTCAAGAACAGCAATTATCTTATTTACATTGAAATTAACAGTATTTCCAACTGGAAATGACGAATTTGTGTCATCTGTTTCCAGATCAGTGTCATCCAAACTAATAATCATCTCAAGTTCTTCGTCTTCTAAGTAACCCGCCGCCATTTTGAAAACAGTTTTTCGAATCTTTATGGGGGGTCCGCACATCACACATGTTTCAACACGCCATCCGTGCGTTTCGCCGCCCTATCTTATAGGCGCCCTGTTTACGCCGAGAGAAATTAGAACTTACATCTCAATTGGGAAAATGTAAAGCAATTATCGTTCATCTTCAATGTTTACTTCATCATTCTTCAGAAGAGGTGAGTCTTCTTCTCTAAATGGCTATAGACTTCTGTTTTAATGCACTTGTATTTTTATCCGTCATCGCTGAGAATGTTTGTGATGTATGTTCTCGCATTTTTATTGTGTGTATTTATTAACATATGTCGTGCCGATAAATTTAGTCTATAGTGTAAATGGGGCTGGTTTTCGAGTGCTACATTCCTGGATTTTAGAAACCTGTATCGAGCATTGATGATCAACGCACTTTCTTTTTTCAGGTTCGTCAGAAGCAACTAAACATATCAACTTCACTATCAGTTGACAACAGGGAATCGTCAGGCCAACGAAGAAATGAATGCTTTGAAGCAGCAGAACTCTGGTCTCAAGCTGCAGGTAACCCAAAAAAGACGCCAGGCTGACGAATTTTACAAAACGGGTTTGGAGAGAAATATTGATGCTGTATCATTAGGAAACCAGGTTAGTTCAATGATATTGTTAAATAACTAGATCGCAGATGCAAAATGGATATAATAAAGACATTCTTTAGGTATATAACATTAAAACAAATTAAACGTGTAAATGTATCACAGTCTGAAGCTTAACGGTGAACCCACTTTCAATTGTACATTACCGTGTTGTTGGTTAATGCAAGATCGAACGAAATTTATATGTGCTTTTAAAACCGCAAGCAGTTAAGAGAGGATTTGATTAGTTATCAGCCGGAGGGCAGGAATGTCAGTAACATCCTGGGTGATTCACTGAGCAACAAAGCGAGCAGCTATAATGCTGAACCTAAGATATCACTTGTGACAGCCATATGCTGGACCGGAAACTATCGAAATAATAAAAGTTAATCAGTGTATAATAAACATAATATGACACCAACTCCGGTTAACTCGAACCCCGGTAACTCGAACAATTTTCCTTTTCCTTAGGGAGTTCGAGTTAGCGAGGAACTATTGTATTTTAAACGCGCACTCGAACTTGTTGAATGGGAGTCATAACATTTCCATGGCGGTATTTCCACTCGAATAAGAGCTTAATTTTCAGTGTTTTTCGTTACATCTTTGTATCGATTAAGAAATAACTTTCTCTGTGATCGTTGATGACAAAATTTGTATGTCACACTCAATGAGTGTGAGTGTAACACAGCCTACAGGCGATAGTGTGGATACGGAAGAATTACTGATAATCGTTTGATATTTATCTGTTTTGAGAGCGTAATGTCCGAAATTTTTGTATTCGGTGTTTATAGAAAGAAATTTGAGTTTCTGCAGAGATCGTTTATGAAAGTATGGGTTAATGTTTGTCGCAGATAAACTACCCGAGGTAGAAATATTAGCAACATCTAGTCAAGAATTGTGTGACAGGCAGGAGATGATTTTCTGCAGTTGTCAGCATTAAAATTGGATCTTGCCAGTCACGGAAAACCTTTGAATACGTACAATCCAGAAAGTCAGTTTATACAAGACCTTCGAGAGAAAGGTGAGTGTACTGTCTGACGCTTTTGAAATACTATCTTTATTTGTGTTTAGAATCTTAAAAATCACGACTGCCGTAGAACATTCTAAATCTACTGAATTAATTCAAACGTATAGATTGTGATGTAACCCAACCACTGTCAGTTGTTAGACCATATATAGAATGCATATCCCTTGTTGTTCTGATCCACTTAAAATAGCGTGATATAGCTATGACGCCTGTCTATGGAGTTATATTTCATTCAAACCCGTTCACAATTTGTAAGTTACGACCTTTTCCAAAACAGTAAATTGATTGCGGCTGGAAAACCTCTCATCAACATTTCTCATCAACACATAACAAACCCTAAATTCACTTCATAAAATTCTGAATGATTTAGTCAGGATTTGAATTTTAAACGTTTTCCTTTTTTTTCAGAAGTCCCTGGTATGAAGGGAGTAGTATCGTCATCTAAAGGATTACACACCAAACTACGTCAAGCTGCTCAAAGGAAAAATGGAGTAACAAAAGAACGCGAACAGTTGATTAAAATGGGAAATAAGCTGAGAGCTGAATTGTTGAAATATAAAGGTATTTGAAGGGATATTTTGGAATATCTATTAAGATGGCATTATATATACGTTAGTCGAAATAAATTACTGTAAGAATGAATTGAATACATTTTTCCTATAATCATGATGCGTAGCTTCTGTTGTTCGCAAAAGACTAACTGCATGTGCAAAGAAATCCCGCGATGATTACGTCACTACCGCATGTAGGGTAGTGACACGTGACCGGGCTCCAGAACACCGCGGAATAACGTCTGGGCAAACGCCGGTCGGTTATAAGCATATGGCGAAAAACTTCAATTGGAACTTTTGAAAGAAAACATGCAAGTTATATTAATTGATAAGATATAAGTTAAACTTGTACTTGAAAATGTACCGAAAACGGGTGGACTAAACATTCGTTTAATTCGTCCTTGCATTGAAATATGAAATAAAATTGTTTTGCAGAGCGTCTTTAAACCATTTTTGATAAATTGTTAAGAACAAAAGTTTAAACCTATATAATAGAAGTTGAGAAAAACTACAATTATTGAGAACACGAAAATTTCTTGTTTCTCTGCAGCGTGGCGGCTTTGGTATAATGAGAGATGCTGAAATAAGTAATCTCGTGGTAAAATCGATTATATTTAGTGTACCGCTGCCACCGTTTTGATTTTAGAATGTTATTCTATCGTTATATATTAGGAGGGAAAAAATCGCCTTCAATTGAGGCACGTCAATCGTCCAAAGATCCGCAGAATGTGGCGCAAACATCCCGATCCCAACTACGGGGTTTGGAACAGTTGCAATATGAACTAACAAGCAAAGAACTGCAGTATGCACAGAGAAAACTAGCGAGGAATAATGATCAGCATTCGCTATCTCCTCGGAAAAAGAATTCCGCGTCGGCCCAAAAACTTCAAAAACACTCTTCAAACACGGAACTCGCAGAAAAAGCAGGCCTACCGGAATCGTCTACTGTTCGTGACGAAATCGTCTCGCCATGGCAACCTTCGTTCTCATCAGACGACCGCGCGTCGTTACAAGATGTCTGGAAACTACTAGGCGAGGACAGTCCTGGATTAACCCATCGCGGGGACGAAGTCAGCAAGTCTCAGCTTCGGGAAAGTTCCTCAACTACGGAGAGTTTCACAGTCAAAGGTCAGCCTAGTCACGTGCATCTCAAGCCAGAGTGTTCCAAGGCTGCGCTGTCTGTCAAGGCAGCTGGGAAATGGACACTCTCCCAGGTAAAAGCGAAGATAAGAAATTATAATATATAAGACGAAGATGTTCGCGAGGGATTGTAGATATTTTTATTTACCTATAATATTTGTTTTTAGCAAGACCGATCATTCATGGCAGTAGGAGGCTGTGTTGGGAATGCCTTTAGAGGCTATGTTTAACCCTCACTTCCAATCTGTCCTTAATTATTCAATTTTCTTACTTACTATTGATTCCCATGCAGTATTAATTTATACCCATGACGTTTGCATGCATTATAATAATCATTCTATTTCCGCATGATTTCCAACACCCCCCCCCTATTATAATATAAAAAGTATTAGAATAAAAAAGTTGTGCCTCGTTCAGTGTTCACCGTCCCAATAAATGTTAACTTGATTGAATTCTAATTTTAATGCAACTGTTCGAAATATATGTTAAAATCTAAAGCACTAAGTTCTATACTGTCTTTCGTGTGCGACCAGATCTAATGATCTTGATCTAATGACCTGTATCTTCAATTGGCTACTGGAACTTAGCTAGACTCCTTAATTGGTGCGGTCACGTTCTCTGTAGGCTTTTCTCCCACGCCGTCCATCTAGCTTCTAACTCACGAAGCAGTTTGGCATCCCAGGGGACCTTGGCGTCACAATACTCGCGGTAGAGGAACTTTCCTTGCAGAATAATGGGCGAAATCAACCCGAGAGGATCATAAACTTTCGCGATCCTTCCGAGGACTCCTCGCTTCGTCGGACTTGCTGGGTCAGCAGGAAACTAGATTTTGTATGGCTTGAGCATGTATGGCTTAGGCGGCCAAAGGAGTGGAAATTCTGTCCCAAACAGCTTGGACCTCACACTATTTTAGGAAGACTAGGCGTAAATTATAAGACTAGGTTACCCAAAGGGTAGTAATGCTGCCTTCAATGGCAAAACACAGTTGTCACAGAAATAAGACAAAAAATTGTACTTATCATTATGTTAAGCAGATTTATATAGACGCCAAAGACGTATCCTTGCATGGAGATAGAACGTCATTTTTAAGTTGACATTTGACGACCGTAAGGTCTGTCTAAATCTGCCTAATACCAAACTAAGGGGTAAAGGTACGTTTACAGTTTGCCGCATAATCTTGAAAAACAACAATACAGTTATATTTAGTGTTTCTGCGTAAAATATATTATATAAATGGTTAAATAGTAAGACATTGGAGAAACATTCTATTCATAGAAAAAATATTTACACTAAAGAGCGTTTCTGTGGAATTTTAAAATGTCAGAACGAAGATAACAGAACAAAGATAACAGAACAGTACATGCAAAACTTCTACAAAGTGGTAAGAATGGCTGAAGTGTTTTCGGCTACAAAGTCATGCACAATCTAATGTTGACCGTCAAAGAGCATAGTTTATATAAGCATGCTGTATATATGTTCTAAGTAGAAAGCTTCTCTATGGAGACAACATTTCTTTTGTTGTTAAAAAGTACTTTCGCCTCAACAGTTAACAGAATTTCCATGAGGAAATCGTCGTCAATTCCCTCAAACTCGGAATCGCAAGTGTTTTGTTCTTTGTATATGTTGAATAGTTGCTGTAGCTTGTCGTCAAACAGCAACAGGGTGGTCGTGGATGTGCCATCCTGAAATAGCACATTCGCGAGGAATCTTTCCTTGCATTTCTTCTTTAATTGTGTTAAACCGCATTCGCTGCATTTAATAATTGGTTTATTCGCTAACGCAGCAACCTTCACGTGGCATTTTTTGCAGGACAAAAACCTCTTGAGGGATACAACACCTTCCGCCGGACATTCAACCGACTTTAAGGATCTGTGCCCAGTGACGTCGTCTTGTCTTTCAATTTTTGCGACTGTGCTCTCGATTTTGGATTTCTTGTTCAGAGTTAAATACTTTTCATTTTCATACTCCCTAACGACAGTGTTCGAGAGTTTGTAAAAAGAACCAGACTCAACTTTATTAATATCTTGCTCCCACAAGACGAGTCTAATTGACGCAGTATTATCGGTAAAAACCGCTTCTTGCTTCCGCAGGGTCTTTCCGTTCTTGAGAATGGTTTCTTCAAAACCCTGAAAAGTTACTCTACCAGTGAGAGTAACTAACGTGAGGTTGGTGGTGGCTTGGACGTCTTTAACATTCACAGCAGCAAGACCAGTTGCACTTTCACTCGATTTCGACGGAAACTGTATGTCGAAGTTAATTTCATCTTCACGTGGTTCATCCAACTTTGTTCTTTTATTAATGAATATTTCGTCTTCATTCGTGAAAGTGTTTCTTTTCACTTGATATTTTGATAACTTTAGTGGCGAAGACGACTCGGACTTTGATTTGCATTTTGAGTGCTTCTCAGGCGAGAAACATACTGTTCGGTAAGATCCTTGGCTTGTTTGTAGCGTTAAATCAAAGTATAAATTATTACGCTGACTGCTTTTTAACGGGCTTAAGTTGTGTATATAAGCCAAAATTGGAGTATCTGAAATGAAAACACAAGTAACGTTTAGCACTAAATAATACAATGCGAGTGACAGTGAAAATTTTTGTTTTGAGCAAACCACGGTTGCAGTGCATATCGCAATTTTGGTCATTGAATTCAAATTGTGAGGTTGTTGTGAAAATTCATTAGTCTTTCACATATTTCTTATAGCTTTTATAGGTAGCGTAACAATTATCTTAACTTATTTCTGTTACAAGAATGCACTTAGTACCTCCATCAAGGTGAACAACTGGCTTCTGGTTGGATTTGTTGGATTCGTTTTTTGTTTTATCTAAAAACGATGAAGATTCGCATGAATTTTTACAGTTTAATACATATTAACGGTATCTAGATTTACTTGAGTACATAAATGAATATTAAATACATGGTGTACGCACAAACTTAACTAATTCAATTTGAACAGCATGCATGTAAAGCTTTGCCGCTATCCAAAAAGAGTAATGATACACTGAAACTCAAGAAACGCTCAGATTAAACTGAACTCCAGTCAATAAGTATAAGTGAACTCAGTTTAGAATACGGGCTTTAAGCCTTTTAACGGTGCTACAAATGTTGCGCGAAAATATTGGTCATACCTTGATTTTCGGCCAAAGATATGACATCCTTCATTTCTTTATCAGTTTCAAGAAGGTATTCTAAAGAGGTTTACAAGTACTTAAGAAAATGTCATTATGCTTAAAGTGATATGCAAAATGTTGATCTTACTTTCGTCCAAGTTAAAATCGTTCATAAGATTGTCACCCTCATGATCCCCTGAAAAATATGCAGAATATAGTAACCTTTCACTGAACAATTACACTGTAGCTTATTGAGTATTCTAGTAAACATCATGTATATGCTTACCTTTATTTTGAGAGCATTCCATAATTTGGCTAAATAGAATATAACGTGTACACGTTAGGTTGATCATAAAACAGAGAGAAAAAAGCAGGCATCACTGAAAGCAAGACTTGAAGATGTGACAAATTAGTTAATAACTATGATAGTTTGTGAACTTCAAAACCCATTGTCACAATCCAATTTAAAAACTGGAACGTTATGGCCCTATTCACGCCATAAAGAAGACAATTATAATCTTATTTTATCACACATGCGCACTTATCGTTTTCTTAGCAATTTCATTCAGGCGCTTTTCTTCCATTACCCTAAATTTTAGTGTTTGTGAATCCTTAATAGCACTAAGTCTTTTAAAGCTGGTAGGTTCAATAACTAATGAGGATATATTACGAACCCTACTTATAGCTACATACGAAATTCCAAGTGCAGACTCTTTCGGACCAATATCAACCCAAGCTTTTTTTAACGTCATCCCCTGACTTTTGTGTATAGTAAGAGCCCATGCAAGAGTTAAAGGTATTTGCTGTCTTTCGTTGATTCCACTACTGCTGTTATAACTTGCCGTAACGGGGACGATAGGAACACATGATTCCATGTTTCCAAAGGACGGTCCAATGTAATTATCAAAGCGAACGATTACAGCAACGGGCAAGTCAGGTGGTAGTTGATTATCAGCGTAAATTATGTCTACAACTGTACCGGTTGACCCATTACATAGGCCGACGGAGGACCACAAATTCATTGTCAACATTACCTTAGCACCTTTTGAAATATAAAGACATGGTTGCAAGCCGAAAAGTTGTTGTGGACTTATATGTTTGGCCTCAGTGTGAGTTCGGCATTTTTCTCCGCTTCATTTGCTTAAGTTTATTATAATTATATTCGGCAACTTGTTTATTACAATAATATAACCTGATGGCATCTTCGAATTCGTCAATGTTTAGAACAGAACTAGGTTGTCTATCAAGTAACTGTTTCCAATCTGAAATATTTGACTCACCAATCCGTAACCTGCCTAAAAGTTCACGAAATGATGTTTGTTCTGAATCTTCCCCTCTCACTCTTTGATTTACTTTCAAAGCAATTACATTCGTAAATAAAAGATAGGCAAGATAACCCTGTTTTCCTATGTCAGATGACGGTTTAGAGTGATACAATGGTTTGTCACCTACTGGTGGCAACTGGGTCACCTAAAAAATTATTGACATCCACCAAAGATTTCTTTTTGTACCTGTTATTTGTCGACACCTTCTGTCAATCCAACCCATGGTGATCTGACCTAGCATGGGTATTCGTCAATATATATACTGAATGTTCGCTAAATTATTTTGCAAGTGAAGAAGGCATTGGCCAGACAATCCTTTTGACTGCTTTGTTGCAATAGGGAGTCTTAAAAGCGAGTGAATTGTTATACCATTTATAGCATAAGACGCTTTTCCGGTAGTTGCCGTCACAGAACATTTTCTCTAAGGTAGTTTCGTAAAGCATTTATAAGGTAACTTTTACCAGTTCTGCAACTCCAGTGACAATCAAAAGAAGTGGTTCTTTTGATTTGGAAGCTGAATGATTAACAACTATATTGTATGCAAGGCTTCTGTTCCTGACTAAATGAAGTTGTGTCATTGGTACATGAGGTGAATGGATAGAATTTTCTTTCTTTTCTGTATCAATTTTTGGCATTTGAGCTATTTGTTGTTCAGTATATCTAGCCCTATCTAAACACCAATTGTATTGATAAGATGAACAATTTTGCATTGCTAGGCGTACTATCATTGTGAGACGAGATATCATCATCCAGTCTTCTTCATCATGGCGTTCATTAGCAATTATTTCAGCAGAAATTTTAACAGCAGATTCTATGCCATTTTCTAGCTTTTCTGCCAGTTTAGGAACATGTTTTTTTGCAAAAGATTATTTAAAAACTCATGCCAAGCAGAAATGTATATATTTTCAGAAGGGTCTTCACTACCCCATGCATCATTAAATGAGTTCTTCCAGGGCTTGTATTTTAACAACTGATACCTGCAATGCAGACTGTAATTCTTACCCTTAGGATTAGCAGAATAAATGGGGAAAAATCGCGGAACAATGTTAGGTACTTGATTCTGAAGCTTTTTGTTAACAACTTTGTATTGTCGTACAAAGTCAAAAAAATTGATACTAAGTATGTTCGGATGGTCATTTTGATAGACACCCCGCTTTGCATACACATCCAAAAGGGAGTCCTTTGTACAATACTGAGAATCTTGTAATTTTGTATTTACTTTTCTTGATGGATTTAAATTGACAGGTATAACATTAAAACTTGAAGTATGTAGTTTTAATGATAAAAGTAAATGCATTGTTTCTTGGGCCCCTATATCTCGTTCTCCAAGAGTCTTAATCATGATCTTTTTCACAGCTTTAGCTGAATCAATATCAGGATTTACACTATTAATAACTTTGTTGAAAGCATCATCAACTGACGATGATCTGGATTCGCCTTTGGCTGCATATTTAGAAAGATACTCAATGCATGCATGGTGATCAAGTATGACTTGTATGTCACAATTTGCTCTCCAGCCCTGCAATTGAATTTGTTGATGGTTATTTAGCCTTTCGTCATTTCGTTTTGTTATAAGCTTTGCTTTAAAATCAACATTATTGTCTTTGGTATGTATTTGTTCAAATATTAGATCTGTTTTATCAGAGCAGTCAATGGGATAGTTAAAACGACATTTGAGTTCCTTTGAATTCTTTGTATGTCGAAGGCAATACTTTGTGCTACAATGTGTATGTCGTTGGACGGTATTTAGAAGGTCAATATAGTCATTATTCATCTCATTATCGCTAATGTTATTGTACGGTTTACTGCATGGATGAATTGAGGGTTTTTGCCAATTTCCTTCATTAGGTAAATTTGGATTCCAAGTAGAAACTAAATCATCAACATAGTCACACACAATTCTTGATGCTTTTTCGCCCTCTTGCATATCTAAAACGCTTGCACTGTTTAAACTATCCCCACATCGCTGAGCACGAAACCCTTTTAAGGCTATCTCAGTGAGCTTGCAGAGGCCTGGGTCAGTTTTTAATTTAGCCATTCCATGACAATGTATACTACCCCTAGCTTGAAACTCATAACGATACCAATGCCACTCTGCGCCAAGTGTGTCATATAACCAATATTTGATAAAAGTTTCTAATCTTTTTGTAAAATACCAGTCAACAATATGGGGATTGTCAATTACATTTTTTCTTTTCTGCTGTGAAGACAGGGTGTTAGGGTTTGAACTAAAAAGTGAATGAAGTTCAGGCCAGTGCATATCAGCAGCTGAAAATGTGAAAAATATAGTTGGAGGTCCCTTTTCGGAAAGAATTGCTTTTAAATCCTCTCGAATTTTGAACCAATACGAAGGGCTACCAGTTATGTTACTGACATATCTCGACAACTTTGACATAAAAGTCTTTGACTCAACTGAAAATGCCATGTCACGCAATTGATCAATGGTTAAATGAACTTCAATAGGATTTTGTTTAAGAAAAATTGATGATTGCTGTAATGTTCTTTTTCTTTGAATAATATTAAGTGCCCAATAAGAAAACCTTGGATGTGAGGCAAATCTATATACCCATTCTTGATCATTTTTTTCTGCAAATTTAATAAGATGTTGCACCTTCCTTAAGAAGGTGATATCATGCAGTAATCCTGGATTTGTTGGATCACCTTTGCTATCAGGAAACAATGTTGGAAATGCCATAGTGGCAAGAAATGGTGTTGTATACTCATTCAATGGTTGATTTCCTACTGATGGCCAGTCAATTTTATGTGTCTTTAAACAGTCTATAATTGCATCATGTTCTAATTTTCCATTTTCACTAACAGGAAGAAAACTACTGCTTGGTGTTTCATGGTTATACACTCTCTCTACATTAAATTCGTCAAAATTATTATGCACTTGTTCATTTCTGGAATCAGGTTTTTCATCCACTGTCTGTATTTGTTTAATGTCATGTGGAATGCCATTACATGGTAATACATTAAGTACTTCCTTGTCTATTGTAACATGATGATACAAAGGGTTGTTTTTAATCAACCAATGCAATGCCTTTTCAACTTTTTGTCTTCGAACATGTACATCCTTAAAAGTATTATTATTATTAGACTTCATTGTAATAACTATTAAAGGAATATCTCTTGGACACCTTGGAAGAGATTGAACAATTTCAGAAACATTTTGTGGCAAGTTGATACAATGGCCACTGTAGCCCCTCTGACCCCCTCCGTTGACAAAAACTTTCATGACTGGTAATGCACGAGCAATAAGCATTTCCTCAATTTGGGTCAAATTTTGCAATTCTACAGGTACACTTGAAGGTATCATGAAATTTCTTTCAGAAAACTTTTTTTCTGTTGTTTTATCCTTTGAGCAACGAGAACAAATATAGGTGGATGGCGATTTTATTTTTGTTTTTAGTGGCCAAGCCTCCAGGCATATTTTGCACTGATAAATCACATAATTGATTGATTTATGAAACAAAGCATTATTTTTCTTGCCATTCTGATTGAAGTTGAAACCTGTTTTACAGGAGTCTAAATTTATGCTACAACTCTCATCAATAAGAACACTACTAGCAGCTTGTAAATTATCCTCCAAGTCATACCCACAATGTTTGCCTTCAGAAATTTCTAGATTTCTATTTCTCTCTAATGGAATATCTTTGCTTTTGTCTTTCTCTTTTTTGAAAATGTGGTTATCATTTTTAAAAAGGTCTGGGTTTTGTATATTTGATTCAGCTAAGTCACTATAATTTTGATTACTGGTGTCATGTACTACATTTTCTGGTGACGGAAAAAGCATGTTCTTTTGTAAATTTGATTCACCTAAGTCACTATAATTTTGATTACTGGTGTCATGTACTACATTTTCTGGTGACTGAAAAAGTATGTTCTCTGGTAATTGACCATGGCCATTCCTACAGACATCAAGCACAACATCATAATGCACACCTTTAGTATGTTGCAAATAAATTGCACAAGTATTTCTAGGTTTAGAACCACTCAGCATGGATTCAGAAAATTTCTGCCATTTAAAAATTTTTCCTACTTTAGTATAAACATAAATATCTGTACTCAGTAGTGATCAGGCAGTAAAAATTTCAACATCAGTACCCCATGTGCCTGTATTTGCCATTCCACTTGAATCTAAGTATAATCTCAATGGCATATTCATATGTGGTAACAGCAATGCTTCAATATTTTTCATATGGTCAAGCACTTGTTGTCTTAGTGAACTGTGATGGCGTTGCCAACCAGTTATTGCATAGGACAAAGCACGAAAAAAACAATTTCCATCTCCTAATATTCTTTGAATTTTTGTTGGTCTACTGAGAAATACCTCTTTCTCACAGAAAGAATAAGATCTTTTACGTATCAAAGGCAAGTTTACTAAAGAGCATAAGAATGTTTGAGCTGAATCATTAATTGGTTGAAAAGTAAAACCAACTTTATTATTTTGAACCAACCCACAATCAATATCATAATTATTTTCAATCTTTTTTTCTTCAGCAACCTTTTGTTTTTTGCTTACACCTTGATGCAAAGGCACTGAAAAATATTTCCTTTTCTTACCAACAGCAAAAGAGACATCTTTAAAAGGTTTTTTTGGCATGTCTTCACAAACATCAAGCACAACATCATAATGCACACCTTTGGTATGTTGCAAATAAATTGCACAAGTATTTCTAGGTTTAAAACCACTCAACATAGATTCAGAAAATTTCTGCCATTTAAAAATTTCTCCTACTTTAGTATAAACATAAATATCTGTACTAAGTAGTGATGAGGCGGTAAAAATTTCAACATCAGTACCCCATGTGCCTGTATTTGCCATTCCACTTGAATCTAAGTATAATCTCAATGGCATATTCATATGTGGTAACAGCAATGCTTCAATATTTTTCATATGGTCAAGCACTTTTTGTCTTAGTGAACTGTGATGGCCTTGCCGACCAGTTATCGCATAGGACAAAGCACGAAAAAGACAATTTCCATCTCCTAATATTCTTTGTATTTTTATTGGTGTTCCTAGATTTTTAGTCGAATAAGGTTTATGCTCATGTATTAGAGGCAAACTTAAAGTCTCACACAAGTTTTGTTGAAAACATATAGTTGGTGGAATAAATATTAACTTGTGTCCACCACTAATTTCGTTTTTCATTTTTCTTTAAAAACTTTATCACTTATCACAAATTCACACAATTATTTCATTTCATCACATGTATATCAGTTTGTAATCGAGGCTACTTAATAGCCGAAAATATTTGGTTTAAACGAGGCTACAGCAGTGTAACCGCATAAAACGTGGCGCAGATGCACCAAACTACTTTATTATTTAAACTACAAATCTGAAATGATGTAACTCAAGTATAAATGTGAACTTTTCAAAGTATCATTGTCACACAGTTACTTTTAAAATAGTTTACAGACAAATGAAATAATTTCTATTCAAAACAAGACGCCCTGTAGGCGTTAACTCAGGCTATAAAATGTGAATACACTTAAAATACACTGTAAATATGCGACTGTCCGCGCTGAAGACTAAGCCTGCGACCCCCTCAAAAAATAATTAACGCAAAACCTAGACTCGACTACCACAGTGGCCTGGATAACAAGAGTTACAAGACAATGGATATATAATTTAAATTAAGAAATTGCACGCCTTAATAAACCTGAAAATCTCTCAAACTGGTTAACTAGTATTATAACAAGAACGAAAAAAGCAATCCTTAAAAAGTTAATGTTAGATGAAACTAAAACAATTCAATACCAGATAATGGATGTATAACCATAAAAAAAAGAAAGTGCGAGCACCTGGCTCTACATCTGCTGTCAAAACCGATTTAAACAAAGCGCGTTTATAAAGCGTGCTTATGCAGCGCTAAAAGTTTAAATAACTTGACCTGCACGAGAACAAAGGGTTAAAAAACTCACCTTTTTATGTAGTATGTTCTCGTTGAGACGTTCTGCCAGTATATTAAAACCTAAAACGGTGAATAACTTACGATTAAACTGTGTCAAAAATAACTTTTTGAAGTCTTTATAAAAGATCCTGTCGGCAAAGTAGAATACAAATGGCGGAAATTGAAAGCTTCTGTGTAGACGGCAGCAATGTCACAAACAACAACACGAGGTCGAATTTCTTCACAAGTCTATAAAGCGCGCATTATACAGCGCGCTTATACACGCCCATGACTAACAAAATAGTTTTGAGTAAAAAATATAACTAAGATAAAGGCTTTATAAAAAGATAATCCTGAATGGGCAATGCAGAATGAAAACGTGAAATTAAAAACTTTCGTGCATGCATACGCGGCAGCAAGGCCACACAAACAACTACACGACTAACACGAGGTCGAATTTCTTGATGTCTGTAAAGCGCGCAATATACAGATACACAAAGTAAAATACGAACGACTATAAAATAAAATATTTTTGTGTTTAAAGTATAAGTAGAGCCGTAGTAGAACAAAACCCTCTCTACGGTATATAGTAAACTTCCAACTCGTGAAATATGGAAATGTGACGCCAACGCAAAACGTTCAGACTGTATAATAAAATAAAACCTAAAACGATCAATTACTTATATTTAACTCGTAGACATAGAAGTACATCGAAAATAGGCTTTAGATAAAAAATCCTGATAGCATCGCAAAATGCAAATAGTGCCGGACAGCAACAGCGGCAGCAACACCACACAAACAACTACACGAGGTCGATTTTTTTAATATGCCTGAGCGCGTGTGAATTTATGTTACAGCGCGGTTATACACAGTAAATCCAAAGTATATTAAAATAACTTATAAGTTGATCAGTAATAGAACCTAAAAAACTCACCTAAAGTTAAACTCCAGAGTCCAGACGACGCCAGTGTATTACGATCTAAAAGAATACGACTGCATGTTTACCACACGAGTATAATTGTGTAAATGTTTGACAAGGGAGATGATAAATAGGCTTACCTTGGTCTTTGAAACGTAGACGTAAAAGAGCAAACAATTGCGACCACGAAGGTTTTATTCAAAAAACCGAAATGCATTATGGTTGAAAAAAGAACTGCGAAAAGTGTGACCACAATGCATCGCTCTTGGCAAAAATCAAGATTTCGCACGCTATTTCAAATTTAGGACTGCTGCCTTGCTCGGTCGCTCAGGCGACCTCGCTGCGGCAGCAATTATATCAGAAACAGGTCGAGAGTTCATGGTCCATCACGACAATCTAAAACCTTACTTTATGCCTACTGAGCAGGGAAAGCTTGCTTGCCCTGGTTTGTTTGTCCTGGTCAGGAATCGGGAGATTTTGATCGTAGTTTCTGTATCAACTTTTAACGTTTTCGGGACCAAAACTAATGTGAGAAGAAAGTGTGGCGCGCGATCAAAATGATTGCGTAAATAATGCATATCGCAATACATAATCTTGTAACTACAATTTGCTAGAGGAATATGATGATTAAGCGATTGTGATACGTAATTGACGGGATGTAATATAAGAAAGAAATTGATATAAATAAATCAGACTGGGGATGGTAGCCGTGCTGTGGCCGACAGTGACTGTGTCTTATAGGATCTTAGGTGTACGCTGCATGGAAACGAAGATGTTGTGACGAGCGGATGGTACCGTGTAAACGCAGCTTAAGAGAAGTAGGGTTATTTAATATCTGTTGCGTTATAATGGAGATTTGGAGTACAATTTCAGCTATGAAATAAGTGGAAAATGTTGAAACATTCTAATGAATCTGAATTACCATTTTCCTCAAATTTTAATTTGTGACCTGTGAAATCAGACTTGACTTCATTAAAAATACAAAACAATCGCACCGTAACCATTTGCTTCACCTGGGCCGCATATAACTAGCTGATGGTGAAATAACGCCGCATCTTTTCTCAATGGTCTCCATACCTGTGATATTATGCCGGGTGTCCCAAAAAAAGTACCTGTTTTTAATTCAACATAACTTGTAAGGAAACTGAAGAATTGCAATCAAACAATCCATATTAAGTGGAGTAATGTCTAAGTTTGATATATTACATATGAAATTTGAACGAGTAGTGTCTGAGATATTTGCGTTTAAAGTCGTAGCAACGTTTTGAAACTTGTGAAAAATCAGGAAAAAATGGCCTATTAAACTTGTTTCAACAATACGGGTTCGTAACATGGTATCTTGTAACTTATTTTTTAGTTGTTTTTTTAAAAATCGTTTTTTACTTGCTCTAATTCATCTGCAAATTCATGTCCACCAGCAGCAACGCACTTTCTTGCCCGTTTCAGCATGCTATCAAAAGACCTTTCAATCATGTGGGCGTCCAAATAGCGACATAACCTAACAATCGCCTCGCGAAGATCTCCCAAGTTTTGAGGTTGTTGGTCATGAGGAACTTCCCAAATCTGCTGTTTAAATAGCCCCAGAGGAAGAAATCACACACGGTCAGGACAGGGGAGTGTGGAGGCCATGGCCAATCGCCGCGTTTACTCATGAGTCGACCAGGAAATTGCCCCGGTAGATATCGGATTGTTGCAATTAACAAGCCATTATTTGCTGATTTTTGACACATTTCAAAACGTTACTGTGTCTTTAAACGCGAATATCTCAGAAACTATTTGCTCAAACTTCATATGAAATATATCAAACCTTAAGTTAGACATTACTCAACTACACATGGATTATTTTATTGTAATTCTTTAGTTCGTTTTTAAGTTATGTTGAATTAAAAATAGGTACTTTTTTTGGGACACCCGGTAGCGTCAGCACAAATGAATCAATTAGGTTAAAGCTACGAATAAGATTCACGTTTGTGCGTTTTAGACAAAATAGAAATCATCATCATCAAAGCAAACGTATTTAAACTTACGTAAAATCCTTCGAAAAAAGGTTGTGTAAAATAAAAAAATAGGTAAAAATAAAACAGTGTAGTGACACTCCTGAAGTTCTGCTGGTCTAGTGGTGAACGCAATGTTCTCCCATTTTTAAAACTTGGGATTCGAGTCCAGGAACGTCCGAATCTGGTTCGAATCTTACCATATCCGTTTTTTCATTATGAACTTCGTGAAAAAGATAAAGAAAATGAAATAATCCTAGCCGTTCAGCACATGATCTCGTAGTCTAGTGGTGAAGGCAGTGGTCTTCCAAATGGTAAATCGATGATTCGAATCTTACCATAACCGTTTTTTCATTATGAACAACGTGAAAAAGATAAAGCAAATTAAATAATCATAGCCCTTCAGCAAATGATCTTGTAGCCTAGTGATGAGGACAATGGTCTCCCAAGTGGTAAGTCCATGGTTCGAATCTTACCATAACCGTTTTTTCATTATGAACTTTGTGAAAAAGATAAAGTAAATTAAATAATCATAGCCCTTCAGCAAATGATCTTGTAGTCTAGTGGTGAAGGCAATTGTCTCCCAAGTGGTAAGTCGATGGTTCGAATCTTACCATAACCCTTTTTCATTATGTCCTTTGTCAAAAACGTTAAAGTAAATCAAATATTCATAGCCACTCAGCACATGATGTCATAGTCTAGTGGTGAAGACAATGGTCTCCCAAGTGGTAAATTGATGGTTCGAATCTTAACATGACCGTTTTATCATCATGAACTTCGTGAAAAGGTTAAAGTAAATCAAATATTAAATAGCTGTTCAGCACATGTTCTCGTAGTCTAGTGGTGAAGACAATGGTCTCCCAATGGTAAATCGATGGTTCGAATCTTACCATACCCGTTTTTTCATTATGAACTTCGTGAAAAAGATAAAGTAAATTAAATAATCATAGCCCTTCAGCACATGATCTTGAAGTCTGGTGGTGAAGGCAATGGTCTCCCAAATGGTAAGTCGATGGTTCGAATCTTACCATAACCCTTTTTCATTATGTCCTTTGTCAAAAGCGTTAAAGTAAATCAAATATTCATAGCCGCTCAGCACATGATCTCATAGTCTTGTGGTGAATACAATGGTCTCCCAAGTGGTAAATCGATGGTTCGAATCTTACCATACCCGTTTTTTCATTATGAACTTCGTGAAAAAGATAAAGTAAATTAAATAACATAGCCCTGCAGCACTTGTA